TTTTATTAATTGTGTTTGTTTTCAAGAAAAAACCTAAAAACTGAATAGTTCGAAATTCGACTTAGAGAATATTATTTTGGAAAATGAAATCAATTATCTTGATAAAAAATAAATTAGTGAGTCATATTATACATATTTAACAAAATTATAGGAAGACCGACAAATAAATAGAAATATTATCTCATGAAAACAAAATTATTAAATGTAATCAGGCAATTTTACATCTGTTTTCGTCATATATTTCTTTCGAAATTGTTCATTTAAAAAGAAAAGATTTGAATAGAACAATACAATGAAAATAATTTATTCAGTAGAAAATAATTTCTTTTTAATTTGAATATATTAATTCTTGAATTTACAGTTAGATGTTGTTTCATGGTCCATTAGCATAGTTATTTGTATTCTAGTTGAAAAGTTATTATTATTATTCTTGTATAAGAAAAAGGAAAAAAAAAGAAAAGATGTCACTATTAATTGATATTAGTTGGAACGCAGAAGATTATTGGTGTTCCTGTATAAACAAAACTACATGGCAGTATTAAAAAGAAATTGATAGTGAATAACGAACGCAGATCGGTTAAGTCACGTTCGAAAAAAAAAAATGGTCGATCAACCTCATCTACATCGTTCGGCTGAAATAGAAGATTTAGCTCATCTAACATCAGAAGACATAAATAAACCACTTGTTGATAGTCAACAAAAATCTAAACAAGCATTGATAGTTGTCGATATTCAAAATGATTATTTTCCAGGTGGTAAATGGATTCTTAATGGTATGGATGCTGCTGCAGATAATGCAGCTCAATTATTATCAGCAGCACGTGCTTCCGATGATTTAGTTATTCATATTCGTCATGAATTTCCAACAAGTGATGCTCCATTTTTTTCAAAAGGATCAATTGGTGTTCAAATTCATTCAAAAGTACAAAATCGTGAAGATGAACATGTCATTGTTAAAAGCCATATAAATGCATTCCGAGAAACAAAACTTAAAGATATTCTTGATCGTAATGAAATTCGAGATATTGTTATATGTGGTGCAATGAGTCATATGTGTATTGATGCTATTACTCGTGCTGCTCATGATTTTGGATATAATTGTATTGTTATTCATGATGCTTGTGCATCTCGTGAACTTGAATTTAATGGTATAAGAGTTCCA